TGGTTGTAATGTGACAAAATATGGAAAAGTTCAAGGGGTATGAATACTTTTGCAAACCACTGTAGCATGTCATTGCAGCATGGCTTTGCCTGCAGCATTGGACTTTCAGAAAATGTGTTTTCTATACCAGCTTGTGCCTGTCACATCAGCAGGTGTTTGTAATTAAGGTAAATGTGTGACAATATGAAATTTGAAGAGATTTTTTGTTAAAGTTGCATTAGCTGGGTTTTGAACCCTGATCTCCCACATGAAAGTCCATGACATAGACCATTAGACCAATGGAGCTGTGGCAGAAGGTGGTGCCAGGGGTTGGTTTGTATTTGTGCAGAAAGACGCCACATTGCCAATACAATTATTGACACAAAAATGCATAATATTACAACAATCAAGCAGTATTAAGACAACAATATGGTAAAACACCAAAATACAATCATATTAGTACTGTAAACACTGAACTACTGAGTTGAAATATTAAACTATGGTGCATTACCAAGTTGAGTACAGCATGGGGCAGTATTGGACCAATACAAGGCTCCATTGACTGACATTATATTTCATTAAACATTAATATTTCATAAACTATAAGTTTTACAGGCACCAAAAGGCATAGCCATCATTTAGCACTGGGGCTTTACAGATATAAATTACAATGGCAGCTCTAGGACAAAGTATGCAGGAGGAGAAGCATGGCAAAGTTGAGAGGACTTGGATGGGAAACGAATTACAATAGCGTGCATTGCATTGGATGAAAGGCAGCAGAAGAATAAATCTGCCCCTTTTATCTCCAGTACTTAAATAAGTTCTTAAATGTTAAATACTTAAATGTTGACATGATTTTAGCACAAATGTTTAAAAGAGGCATTTTGAAGATCACGCTTTTTTATTTTATTTTACTTTATTTTATTTTATTACAAATAGCAGTAGTCTGCTTCACACAGCCTGCTCACTGCTGCCGTTTGACTGAGCAGATAAGTTTCATAATGCATGAATGCAGTCAGGTTCATTCTGAAGTGGAGTGCAGATAAGACAGGCCATCTGGTGTCTGAGGCAGAAAAATAACATTTTTTTTTCGTCATACAGAAGTTGAATGGATGTACAGACACAAACACAGACATGTACCGCCCACCTGTCGCTTTAAATCCAGCAGCAGTGTTAAAAGGAAAAGCAAGAACACTCGGCTTGTCTAACTACTGAAGTGATGAGGATTCATCTCCATCCAAAGGCCTGATGGCTTCAACCAGCTAAAACTCTACAAGTGCTGAATAATAAAGTGGTTTAAGGGGGATGATTGTGAGTGCGAGCAGAATTCAAGCAGCCAGTGATTATTGATTGGTGACAAAATCTAAACACTCAGTAGTTGATTGTGTTCTTTGTTTCCCCTGAACTTCTTGAATTGCCTTGTCGACACAGCTTTTATTTACTAATCTGCATGACTGTGCAACATATTTTATGATTTCTGTCTGGTGGTTTCATGTGACTCAG